CTTTGGAGGCTCTTGGGATCAGTTCTTTCCACTTGCGGAGTTTGCTTACAACAACATCTACCAGTCGAGCATTCAGATGGTAAACGGTGTCCATCGCCTGTTGGATGGTTTGAGCCGGGGGAGGCTCGCTTATTGGGTACAGATTTAGTATAGGATGCCTTGGATAAGGTTAAGATCATTGGGGATAGACTTCGCTTAACTCAATCCAGCCAGAAGAGTTATGCCGACCGTAAGGATCATGATGTTGCATTCATGGTTGGAGAAAGAGAGTGTTGCTCCATGTGTCACCCACGAAGGGTGTAATGAGATTTGGGAAGAGGAGAAAATTGAGCCCTAGGTACATCGGGCCTTTTGAGATTCTCCATAGAGTGGGTGAGGTGGCTTACAAGCTCGCATTGCCACCCAGTTTATCAGCAGTTCATCCGGTATTCCATGTGTCCATGCTTCGAAAATATCACGGAGATCCGTCTCATGTGTTAGACTTCAGCATGGTCCAGCTGGACATGAATTTGACCTATGAGGAGGAGCCGGTAGCTATTCTAAACTGGCAGGTTCGTCAGTTGAGATCGAAGAGTTATCCTTTAGTTCGAGTGCAGTGGAGAGGTCAGCATGTTGAGGCAATTACCTGGGAGTCCGAGTCCGATATGCGGAGCAAATATTCCCACCTTTTCACCAGTCCAGGTACTTTTCTATGTCCGTTCGAGGACGAATGATTGTTTTAGAGGTGGAGAATGTGATGACCCGATAGGTCATCTTATGAATTAAAACCAAATTCTGTGTTCCCAGACCTTAAAACCTCATTTTATCCCTCCTCACTTTGTATGCACAGTCCGGACGTGTTTCCGGGAAGCTTTTATGTTGAAAGCTTTTATGTCATTCGAGTTGACTTCGGTCAACACTTTTGTAAACGGATCTGGGCTCGTGTTTTGAAAGTCCGGTGGGTCTGTATCGAAATATAGCACATAGGAATATTCCCGGAATCGGATTCGGAGGTCCCTAGCCCGAGTTATGAATTTTTACTGAAAATTGAAAGTCTGAAAATTTATTTATTTTTAAGAAATTATTGATGTTTGATCTCGTTGGTATCGGGTCCGTGTTTTGATTCTGGATCCCGGTACAGGTCAAATATAATATTTTTGACTTATCTGTGAAATTTGGTGGGAAACGGAGTGGGTTTGGCGTGATTCGGACGTCCGGTGATAAAAATAGAGATTTCAAAGCTTTCTTAAAAATTTCATTTGATTTGGTGTTCAATTCGTAGTTTTAGGTGTTATTTTGGTGATTTGATCACGGGAGAAAGTTCGTACTATGTTTTTAGACTGGTGTGCACTTTTGGTATGGAGTCCCAGGGGGCTTGGGTGTATTTTTGGATCTTTGATTGAGAGACTAGTAAAGTTAAGAAATTTGGGAGTTTGACCATGGTCAATATCGGGTTAAGACGACCTCTTTTCAGTGTTTTGAGTGCGAGCAGGTCCGTAGCACGTTTTATGATTGAAATTCATATGTTGTTTGTGTCCAGGAGGTTCCGGATGAATTTCGGGTGGTTTCGGATCATTTCGGAGAAGTTTGGATTTTGCTGGTTGGTACACTGTTCTTTCGCAATTGCGAACCTTTTATGGAATTGCGAAAACACTGTTCATTCGTAATTTCGAACCTTTTATGGCAATTGCGAAAATATTGTTCATTCGCAAATGCGATACCTGCAGCTGAACAAAAGATGACTTAGACGGAATTTTTTATTCATTTCCTAAAATTTCAAAACCTAAACTACAAGAGGCGATTTTCCAAAGAACTTTTTTTCCCCAAATCATTGGTAAGTGATCTTAAACTAATTTCTTTAATCTTTCACTATTTTTTTTAAGATTCAACCAAAAATCTATGGTTTTCATGGTCAAAATTGGGGGTTTTTGGGTAGAAACTAGGGATTTCGAAATTTGGAGATTTAGACCTCAAATTAAGGTCGGATTCCAAAACCAATTATATATCCGGGCTCAGGGGTGAATGGGTAATCGGATTTTTATCCGAATTTTAGGTTTGGACCAAGAGGGACCGGGTGTTGACTTTTGTTGACTTTTTCAAAGATGGCCTAAATTGAATTCTTTGTAATCGTGGGTAGATCATAAGGCTTTATTTGCATCATTTGGTTGATAAATTGCTAGATTCTATTGGTCCGGAGGCTTGTGTGAAGGGAAAAGCTGTGATTGAGCTGTGAGTTTGGCCATTAGAGCGATGTAAGTGTCGTGGTTAACCTTGGGTTGAGGGATTAGGTATTATTTGCCTATTTGCTACGTGTTTGGATGTTGAGTACAACGTATAGGTGAGGTGAAGAGCACCTATGCGTTGTTGTCAAGTCATAGCATGGGAGTTAGCCTTATGCATGTAACTGTTGTATTCTTTGATCATATTGTTCATGCTTAGACTAGCTATTCGTTATGTTGAGCAACTCTTATCATGTTTAACGGAATTTGGTATTGATTGAGTATTGACTCAAAGTTGAGGTTGGTATTGTGGAACTAAATGTTGAAGTAATATTGGTTTTTGATATTTCTATCTCTCTATTGTTATTGTTCATTGTTTTGGTGAGAGAGAGTGTTAAAGTACGAAGGGTGGTGCCGTGCAATATTTTGTGAGTTGAGAGTTAATGCACGAAGGTTGATGCAGTGCCATGATATGTGAGTGTTAATGCACGAAGGGTGATGCCGTGCCGTTTCTTTTGTTTATATGGTGAGGATGAGAGTTAATGCACGAAGAGTGATGTTGTGCCGTTTCTGTTAATTATTATGGTGAGGTTGAGAGTAAAAGCACGAAGGGTGATGCCGTGCACTTGTCTTTACTGTGTTTAATACTTTCATTGGTGCAAAGCATATTGTCTGTTGTGGTTTCTTTACTGTTACAGTTTTCTTTATCTTGCACTCCCCTCAGCATGTTTCCCCTCCCGTTATTATCTGTTCAGCTTCTATTAGTTGTTATTGTGCTCGTATATTATTTAACTGTTCAGGTTTATGAATGTGTCTTGTCTTAGCCTCGTCACTACTTCGCCGAGGTTAGACTCGACATTAACAGTACATGGGGTCGGTTGTACTAATACTGCACGCTGCACTTTCTGTGAATATTTTGGTACCGGACCGAGTTGACGCTGAGTCTAGCTGCTGGCTTGATCTGTTTGGAGACCCAAGGTAGTCATGTTGTTCGCAGTCCCTGGCGTCCCCTTCTATGCATTTCCTTTACTGTTTGATTTGTATCAAAAATAGTTGTATTTCCTTCCGATACTCTACTTGTAGCTAAATATTAGTAGTTCGTGGATTGTGACACCAAATTGTGGGTAGTTGTGTATAAGTATTAAAGTTATTATGGTTTTTCGCACTTTTCTTTTTACCTTGTTATGGCTTATTTGATGTTTATCACTGAAAAACTTAAGAATTTGGCTTAATGAGATCTATCGTTGGCTTGCCTAGCAAGTGAAATGTTAGGCGCCATCACGGTCCCGACGGTGGAAATTCTGGGTCGTGACAAAAATATTGAGTAAATTTCATGGGTGATCATTCAACTTTGTGCTCGTTACCCAAAAGTTACTTTTCTTTTATTTGTTACGTAATAGTCATTCAACTTTATATTTATTATCCAAAAGTTACTTTTCTTTCTTTTGTTACACAAAAATTATTTTATTATACTCTAGTTACTTGTCACAATAATCACTTGACTAGATTTTACAAATCTTTTACCGGAAAAGTCTATTATGCCCTTGACATTATAAATCATCACATTTATGTAATACCTTCTATATTATATGCTATATAATATACTTTTACCCAGGTATTTTACTTATAATTAAAATAACTTGCTATTATTTTATTTATTATTTTTATAATTCGTAGATTTAATTTTTTTCTTAAAAATATATAATTAGAATTATTAAATTGGTCTGTAATATTACCATGAACAAATCTCAAGTCTATGTTCTTAATCAAGCTTAATGAATTTTTTTTAATGAAAATTATAAAATGAAAGCTTATTGATTTACAAAACAAGCCATACTCATTAATTCAATAAATAAAATACCCGCATTTAGCACAATGACACATTAGATTAATACTTTCAAATAAACAATATTAATAGATAAAGCTTTAAAAATATTAATATTAAAAACAAATATCTTTGATACTTCTTAATTTTTTTTATAGATTATAAAAAACTATCATTTTTGTTAAACAAATCTTTTTGTCATTACTTCAAGTAAATATTAAAAAATAAATATTTTTATTATTTTTATATTTATAATATGTTCATGTTTTAATATGATCGAACAAATTGAGTGTCAGGAAAAATTTAAATGTATGGATATATTTAAAATAATAAATAAATAATTAAAAATTATTTTAATTATAAGTAAATCCCCGGTATGGAATAATATTGGGTATGTTGTTATTGTTATTGGTGTTGTTGTAATTTAATTATAAGTAAAACACCTAGGTAAAAATATACTATATAGTATATAGGAGTAATATACAAGGTATTATATAAATGAGAGGATTTATAATGTCAAAGGCATAATAGACTTTTCGAGTAAAAATACTATAAAATTTGGCAAGGTGACTTTTGTGATAAATAGAACAAAGTAAAATGACTTTTGTTTAACACAAGAAAAAAAAGTGATTTTTAGGTGATAAACATAGACTTGGATGATTTCTATGTAACAAAAAGGAAATTAACTTTTGCGTAATGAATAAAGTTGAGTGACCACCCATAAAATTTGCTTAATAACCTCGATAGATCTTTTAACTAAAAATACGCTAAATATACCATTAGAAAGGAAAGAGATAGTATACTATAGTATTCTCAACAGCTGTGTTTCTGAACCAAAATAAGCTAACTTTCAAAATTCGATAAATTAATTAGATATATGAAGTACAAAAATCAATCATAGATAAAGATCACAAGCAGACAAAAATAATGAAACAGAAAATGTAAATGGCAAATGAAAATAAAGTTGCTGTTCTGTTTATAAAGAAAGGAAATACGCATCTTCTTTCGCACCAAGCCATTTGATTATCTCAAAATTTCACACACACACACACTACAAATGGCTCCAATTCAACCAGCAAGTACTGTAAAAATACTCTCAGAATCCCCTAATCTCAACTCTATCCCTTCTACTTATGTTAACTCTACTATTAATCCCTCTGATTCCCCTGCATCTGATCCTGATCTTGATTCTTACTCCATTCCTACTATTGATTTTTCCTTACTCACTTCCACTGATCCTCAACAACGCTCTGAAGCTATCGACAACCTCGGCAAAGCTTGCCAAGACTGGGGATTTTTCATGGTACACTTGAATATTATGCCATATTTTCCTAGATATTCTTTTATTATATGAGAAAGGGAAAGGGTGTGGCCGTTTAATTAGGCGTAAGGACTACGTATACACTATCCTCCCAAAGTTCCACATGTGCGACTTCACTGAGTTTGTTGCTGTTGTCTTTGTCGAGCATCAGAATATTAAAAATATTTTTTTTTAAAACTTATATGATATTATGGGTGGTGCAGGTTGTGAACCATGGCATACCAGAGAGTTTGATTAAGGAAGTAATTGATGGAACACAAGGATTTTTCAACTTAGCAGAGGAAGAGAAGAAAGAAATTGAAGGAAAGCATGTGTTGGATCCTATAAGGTGTGGAACCAGCTTCAATACCTCTAAGGAAAAAGCCTTCTTTTGGATAGACTATCTTAAGGTCTTTCTGCATCCTCAATTTCACTTCCCTACCAAACCCAAAGGTTACAGGTACATTTTGCTCTCTAAGAAAATTTTAAATGTATTTAAGTTATATATACTAACGGTGTAAGGGAGGGGAGCCTTGGCGTAACTGGTAAAGTTACTGTCATGTGACCTTCTGGTCATAGGTTCGAGCCGTGAAAACAGCCTCTTGCAGAAAGCTCTTTCCGGGCCGCGCACGTAGCGGAAACTTAGCGCACCAGGCTGCCTTTTTATACTGACATTGTATATGACATATGTCTAGTGTTTGTTTATACCTGTTATAGTAAGTTATTTATCATTTTTATCTTTTATAGTGATATTGCGTCGGAGTATTGTGAGAAAACTCGGGAAGTCGCAAAAAAATTACTTTCCGGAATATCACAAGGCCTAGGATTGGAAGAGTGTTTTTTGGACAAAGCCCTAGATATGAAATCTGGGTTTCAGGTTTTCATTGCAAATTTATACCCACGTTGTCCACAGCCTGAACTTGCACTTGGAATGCCACCCCATTCACATCATGGCCTATTAACTCTTATTATTCAAAACCAAGTTGGAGGACTCCAAGTTCAACATCAAGGCAAATGGATTCCTGTCAATGCCCTTCCCAACTCTCTATTGGTCAATAGTGGTGATCATCTTGAGGTAAATCGCTTTGTTTAATACTTTCTGCGGCTCATATTATCTGTCTTTTAAGGTTTTCGCACACCCTTTATGTAAGAGATTCAATAGCTAATTATGAATATTTGTCTACATTTTCAGCAATGGAAAGTACAAGAGCAATATACATAGGGTGGTGGTGAACAACACAAGTCCAAGGATATCAGTAGCTGTTGCTCATGGTCCATCACTTGATGCAGTTGTAAGTCCTGCTTCTCCGTTGGTACAAAGTGAGAATAGCCCTCCAGCTTATATACCAATGAAATACAAGGACTATATGGAGTTACAACAGAGTAACCAGCTTCACCAGAAATCCATATTAGAGCAAGTCAAGATTCAAAGGAATTGAAAATTGTTTTCACTGGGAAGCTCTGTTGTCGTAGTGTTGAATTTGGCTTTGATAAATTTTCATGTTTATTAATGGAAAGTATTTGTGTAATATAGTTAGAATCTAAGTGGACTGATTCTTTTTTTTTTCTCCAAAGAAAACTAGATTTTATATATCTTAATGGTCAATACATACTAGTATTAAATGCGAATTCAAGAATAGCTAGAGTCATTTGGTTCCTTATTTTGAGAAGTGCTTTTTTTCAAAAGTGCTTTTCTCAAAAGTACTTTTGGTGAGAAGCAGTTTGTGTTCGGCTAATTAGTTTGAAAAACATTTCTAAACAGCAATTAGTGTTTGGCCAAGCTTTAAAAAACTGCTTCTAAGTGTATTTTTCTCAAAAGTGCTTCTCAAAAAAGTGCTTTTGGAGAGAAGCTACTTTTTTCTGCTTCTTCAAAACTGCTTCTGCTTCTCCTCAAAAGCACTTTTTTTCCTTCCAAAAGCTTGGCCAAACACCTCAATTTTTTCTCAAAAGTGCTTTTGGCAAAAAAAAATGCACTTTGGCCAAAAAGAAGCTTGGCCAAACGGGCTATAAGTAGATGGGAAATCTGCTTGAGAGATAACTTGAATTAGGAATCGGGCTACGAATAACAATCACTTGTCAGGCCTCCCAACATAATCATAGAAATGACACCAGATAGCCACTTTTTGGGACTGCAAGATAAAATAAATATTGACTAATCTCTAAATGGTATTCACGAGAATACCTAAAGTGTCCAATTTATTATTTGCTTGTTTTCTCCTTTCACTAATCTCTTTCGAGATTCACAGACCACAGCTTCATTTTCTTGTCCATATATACTTGGGAACAGCTATTTCGATTGGACTTTTGGACAAGTTGGCAAGTAGTACTATTATTAAGCTCCTGTTGGCTGCATGACAGCTAGAATTCTAATTTTAGTTCATTGAAAGATAATTCTTTCAACTCGTAAAAAGATTTATATGAATTAAGTTGGGAATCAATTGAGTGATGAACTTAAACCAAATTGTATGTTGGACAAAGTAATTTTAGTCAAAAAAGTGCTAGATGTAAGTTAAAACTCGCTGCCTCACCAATTGCACACCTCAAATGCATACAATGTGTATCGTTTGGACGTTTAAGAAAAAAAGAGAGCAAAAAGGCATACTATTTGAATAACGATAAAGTGTTAGGTGGCCTAGTAAGGATGACAATGCGGCTGTGCGGGTGCGGGTTTTGTTTGATGCGGGGCGGAGCGGGTTTACTCTTATGCGGGTGCGGGGCGGGGCGGGCTAAAACAATTTTTAAAATTTTTAAAGCGGGGTGGATTGCGGGTTTTATGCGGGTTCAATGTAAGGCAACTTTGAATTTTATCTTTTTTGAAACAAAGCAATCATTTCAACTACAATTTACATTCTTTTTCACTAGTACGAATACTAATTTGATTTATAATTGACCAGTGGTTATTTACAAGTTATTAGTAACATGTAAGACTTTTTAGTTTAATTTGTTTGAAATTTAAGATTTGTTATTTAACCTCTATTAATTCTGGTTCAGCTAGCTCGGCTTACAATCTTATAACATTATAACTTATAAGGATGATATATATCAGTGAATTCCATTTCTTTATAGTGGAGGTATGTATTTGCTGGTTCTTCGAACGCATTTGGCTAATATAATGGAATTTTATCTTAATGTTTCTTAGTTACATGATTGTCAAGTCTTTTCTGGTGAAAGAAAAAATTTATTCATCATCACCATGAAAAAAACTTACAAAACCAGAACAAAATCGTTAGCTAACTGATGTTTGTTTAAAGTATATATATTTTTATATATATCGCCTCATATCTTACTTTTGTTTCGTGGATTTAGGATGTGAAATGCGTTGATTTATGTTAATTTGATGTGTTTTTATGTGTAGGAATGATCCGGGAGCAATAGGGGGCGGATTGTGCAAAATTAGAGCCAAAACAGACAAAAACAGGAAAGTTGGACATTTCAGCGCCACAGGTGGCGCCTAGGCCTACCTGTGGCGCCAGAAACAGAATGTAAAATTTTACAGCGCCGTGGAGGGCGCCTGGCGCTCCAGGGCGCCAGTGACGCGAAGTTTCTTCAATTTCGCCCCGGACACGGTTATTTCGGCCCTAAACCTACCAAATACGTATAAAAGCAAGACTAAACTTATTTGTGAAGGGGAGACGCCACTTTGGAGAGGGAATACACACAAGAAACATTCGGGAGCAAGAACATCTCAGATTTCTTCATCTTTTCTAGTATTTTCAATTATTTAAATTGTTTGCTAGTATCATGAGTGGCTAAAAAGCCATTGTTCTGGGATTGTGATTTAGCCATGAATATTGTTGTTTAACGTTAAAATAATTCACTAATATATGGTTGTTTCTTCAATTCTGTGATTAATTGCTTAATTGTCTGGCCATCAGTTAGGTTCTATTTACTATCTATGCTATGCTTGGGAAAGCCATGTTTAGATTAGAGAAGAATTGAAGAGAGCATGGGGGGAGGGG